GTGGCTTTACATCATTTTTGGGGGAAAAAAAAAAAAAAGCCAAAAAAATGTGCTGGAAACATCAGTACCCATAAAACATTTAGAAAGAAGTTAATCTATCAAAATTAAGTGCAAATAATTTAAAAATCCAACTCTTTCAACTGTGTAAATATATTGAATCTGCAACACACTAGTGAACATGTCATTTTCAAGTGTGGCTTTGATTATAAAAAATGTAAATGAAGATATTTGAAGTACTAACCAGGGCAAGCAAGAAAAATATTTCACTCGAAAAGCTAAGAATCACACAAACAACTGGTAAAATAAAGGGGAGGTAATTATCAGAAAAGGCAGAGAAAAACTCAGATTTGCCAGCAAATTCATACCAGGTTTGAACAAATATTAGGATTTCTAAACATGTATCAGAGAGGAAAGGAAGTTCATTTCTGCAAAGTGAAATAAACTCTAGGATTTGAGTCTGAGTAACCTGATTGAGGCATGTATCAAATGCTGAAGGATTAAAATAACGGTAGGGATAAGTCCAACCACTGTGGGGTTTTTTTGGCCAGTAGTTCTTGAAGTGCTGTGTGCAAGGCACAGATCTTACTTTGGCACTTGACCATCTGCAGCTGCTTCACTCTGGCCCCTAGTGAGTTAGTGTCCATGAAGTCCATCTTAATGAAGTAGAGGAAAGGGTCTTCAGGAATATAAAAGATTTACCCTGCTTATCATGGAGCTGTGTGCAATGTGAAATAGAGAGCAAGTGGTGCATGTGCTGATATTTGAAAAGAACTGTGGTTTAAACAGCCCTGTTGAAGAGGCTGTGAACTGTACTTGGAGCTGGCTTGGAGTGCTGAGCACTGCAGAGTGCAGTCAGCTCAACACCCCTTGTTCCCATAAAAATGTTAAGGCCTTTTTACCTATTTATTGCTGCTTCCTTTGAGCTTTGGGTTTACTGGTATGCAAAAGGGGAAAAAAAAAGAACAGGTATATGTTCTGTTGCTCAATCAACCTTTCCTCAATCCACCCTGAGTTGTCTCAGTGAGCCATTACTGCATAATTACAATTTGAGTGTGATACACTGTTTGTAGAAAAGTGTCTATTTTTAGCGGAAGAACACTACAGTCCCTGAAAGGAAGAGAAAGAAAGAAAAAAAGGGTAAAAAATCTGTAACCAGCAAATCAATGCCATTGTTAACTGATAGTACGAGACACCCCGTAGATTTACAATGCTTGCACTCAGCCACATAAAAACCACACTGAAAAGAATGCCTACCAGGGGTTAAATTCATATGCCTGCGCTGCAGCCTATTTCTGTCAACACTCAGCTCAGGAAATAAACATTTATGCTTTCTGAAATGAAAGTGTATTTTTGAAGACTAGCCGTCAGATATTTTTTGCCCTTCACACTTTCAAATGCTTAGCCTTTTTTGTAAGTTGACTGCAAAGTGCATCAGTTTGCTAGGCAAAAAAAGAAAAAAAATAAAATCTTGACAAGTGCCCATGGCATCATTGTCAAGCACACGAGTGTCTAGTAGAAGATGGCAGGAGGGTTGGCACAAAACATGCTTCCTTCAAGCTTCTTACCTCAGGGGTACCTGACTCCTGAGAAGCCTTTCAATCCTTCCAAGTGACGTTACTGCAAACTGTCATCTGGTTTATTTGGAGTGCGCTGTATCGCAGATAAACATGCTATTTAACTGCAGGTCAAGGTACAGAGTCATTCTGCGAGCAAACGCCTGAGAAACGTTAAATGGCATTGACTTGGGGAGGGAGATGGAGAGAGATCAAAGTTGTCACCAATATGGTACGTGCTAAGGGGGGGAAAAGGTGCACAACATTGTATTTTAAAAAGCTGTTGCACAGTTCTACAGTTAAAGCGGTGACCTGCAGGGCTCTCAAAGATTTAAGGGCGCACACAATGCACGACAAAGTCCAGAACCACACCATCCTGCAGCATCTCGGCATGGTTTGGAAAGAGCTTGGAGGTGTGGGTGGAGAGGCTAACACTGGTTCAGAAAGCTGGAAGTGCATTTCATCCAATGTGGAGACATTTTAAAAAGTGGTTACAATTTAATGTAGAAAATGTCCACTTGTCAGAGGATGTGGTTGATCTGGGGCATTCACATAACAAGAGCTCGCAGACTCAGAGCTTAGTGTGAAATAAGTATAACCTCCTCCAGACAATTAAAAATAAATCTTTTTATATAATAAAAATATATATGCCTGTGTAATCTATTCTGTATATAAATATATATTCCTGTGTAAGCTATTCTTTTAATTGTGACTTGTTGAATACATATTAAAAGGGTATTGCTGTGATACAAGAGATATGCTGGATGCTTTCACATTTTCTGAAAAATCAAAACAAAAACAGATTAATTACAACTTGATGCAGCTTTACATTCCCACGAGGGATGCCTTTAAAAGTTAAAACATGCTTTCACTGAACAGGCTTTCAAGGGAAAGTTACTTCGATCAGGAAGAAAATAGTCATGCTGATTTGATTTATTATTGAAGAGTGGAACAGTGTGGTTTATATTTGCCAGTTTTTCTATAATGTAAAAAATTTCTTTTGATTTTTTAATGTGTCAAGTAAAACCAACTGGTATTTTTACTGCTCCAGAATGCAGATTTTTCAAGAGTGCAATACAATAAATTATAGGCAACATTCCATTTCCCCCCCTCTTCAGAGGGCAAATGTAATTTTCTTTGACTGTGGCACACAAATAAATGTTATTGAAACACAGTATTATTTATTTAAAAAAAATGAAGCTAGTGACAACAAAACTGTACTAAAATAGATAAGCAAATAAAAAAGGAAGTTGGGGAGTGTTCAGGAAAAAAACCCAAATACAGAGAGAAATTGCAGGTTAAACTTTTTTAATCAAAACTGATTTTATTGCTTTTTTCTTAATTAAACCCCGCAGAAGTGTGTGAAACATTGTTATACCTGAAAAATTGTTAATTTGTAAATCACAGGGACAAAAGGGCTCCACTGCAACTTTAAAGTTTCTATGCACGTAAATGTCAATAGAGTGCCTTCTCCATCATCAGCACTAAATTCACATTGATGCCTCTTTTCTTCTCTGTATTGATCCTTCCATGAGAACGTAGATTTGTATCTGTTAATTAATGCGTCCTGAAACAGCGTTTGTATTAATCAGGCAGATAAGAAAAATTGGATGCCTGCACCCTCATGACAACCGTAAAAGTGCTGGCCCTGATAAAATCGTGGATGGACCTCAATAAAAAAGTTCCTCCTTCCACTCAATAAACTAATCATCCTGCTTTTAATTATTCGGCAGAAAGATGTGTGGAGATTGGAGAATGTGTAAATCTATTTACTAACAGCAGTGTCTGGGAGGGAGAATGGGGCTGTCACAGGACGGTGCTGCAGGCTACATTCTCTGTCCATCTGCTACTGCACAAAAACTGGTTCTTGAAAGACGGGAAGGAACAGAAATGTTGAAGCTAATTGAAATCATGAATTCCTCCCTATAACCTTTGAAATGATTATTTCTTCGACATTTCCCTCTTATTTATTTTAATCACAGACGTGTTATTTTCCATTGTCACATCTTCAAGGGTTTCCTGTTGTTGTTGGCTCAGTTTTTGTTGGTGTTTTGTTTTTTTTTTTCTGAAAGAAGAGAGCTACAGTTCTATCACAAGACTCAAAAGACAGAGAAAATGAAAACAAATAAGGAGGGAGAGAAAAATGAGAGAGAGAGAGAGCATGCAGCCAGTTTTATGTTTCATTTTTTATGGATGCCTGGTGGTTTGGATGTGGGCTTTTCTTTTTTCTTGTATTAGTTTTGCTGCTTAGTGCTTATAGAGAAAATCTTGTTTGGAGTAGACGCCTTGCAGATTTGCTAGTTTATGATATATTCTTGCTTGACTGTAACTCTTGACTTTCAAAACAGAAAAATGCATTTAAGTGTAATTGAACGCAAAAAAGAATGTTCTTACAGCGGGAACCCTGTCAGAGGACATGTAAGCAGCTCCATAAACAACTAAATGAAAGCCTCAGACATGTCTTAAGACCCTTTAAGAAGAGCTTGACTAATCCCCTTTGATGATTTTATTAAGTACTTGTGGTTGATGGTGCCAACTGGCAAACTGCTGCATTTCACCAACAGGCCAGGAAAATCACTTCCTCTCCCATATTGTATCCTAGCACCTAATGTGATTGGGATATTAGCAGTTTGATATAATAAATTAACAGGTACTGTAAACAAGAGTCTGAAAAGGTAACACAGTAAAGATGTTTGCCTTTAGTGATCCTATTAGGAAAGACAGCAGAGAGAGGAAAAAAAAAGGCAAAAGTTAAATTAATTAAGAGGCATTTATTAAAATTTTGGTTGCCCTTAGAAAAAGGATGATGTGACTGCTATTCAGTTGACATTTCAATGTGTCACCCTGTTATTTCAACAAGTGTAGTAGAAGCAGAAGCCATTACTGAAATGATTAGTGTCTTTTCTGCGAAAGGTGGGTGTTATGTCTCTTTCCCCTGAGGTTAAAGTTCAAAGAGAATTTTTCTCTTTTTGACTGGCACCTTAATTCTATTTAAACATCAGATCTTCCCTTTTAAAAAAGTTTTATTTTTTTATCTCCTAAATTGTCCTTCTTGGTTTATGGTAGTGATGAATAGAATCAGCAGATCCCTGTTTCACAGCATCAGATTTTTAGAACTAAGCACAACTATTTCAGAACAACGAAGACATGATACAAATCACAGACTGTCACTGCAGAACCCCCAAAATTATTAGCATTCTCACAGGAAGAGCCTGCAAATTCCAGCCTGTTTAAAACTTTGGTTTTGATTAGAAAACATTTGATTTTTTATTGATTCACTTTCTTGTAATAGGATGAGGAGAGGCACAAAAGCAGAAGGGAGAATAATAGCATGTTTTATCACAGTGTATATAAAAATAAAAGAGGAGCAAATTTCTAATAAATCTGATAAATCCAGGTGTGCTTAATTTTTTTTCCTTTTTTTTTTTCTTTTTTTTTCCTACTCAGGATTCTCCACTTTGTCTCTAGCTGACCAGATGAGCCTTCTGCAGAGTGCTTGGATGGAGATTTTGATTCTCGGTGTTGTATACCGGTCACTTTCTTTTGAGGACGAGCTCGTATATGCTGAAGATTATATTATGGATGAAGACCAATCCAAATTGGCAGGCCTTCTTGACCTTAACAATGCCATACTGCAGCTGGTAAAGAAATACAAGAGCATGAAGCTGGAGAAAGAAGAGTTTGTCACCCTCAAAGCTATAGCACTTGCTAATTCAGGTTGGCAGAGTGGCATGACGGTTGCTACATTTTTAATGTGTCACTTTTTTTTGGTTTTTTCCTACCTTCCATAATACTTTCTGCATGCTTGTTTTAAACATGGTTTTAGAATAAGAAATTGCTAATCAGACTTTAGCTAAAGGGCGACAAACAAAGCAGTTCAAAATAAGAACAACTTTCTGTTTCAGTGTAATTGGGGAATATGTCCCTAAGGGAGTGGAAAATATTCCGCTGTATGATTTGGAGAGTATTTTACAGGCAAAGATCCCTTCAAATGAATATAGATGTTGTTTTCCTAAAACCATTCCATAATTCAAGCAAGCCTAATCATTGCAATTAAAAGGAAAGAAAGGATGCTGGAGAATAGGCTATATATTTTCTCTTTAAAGGCAACTGCTGATTTATTTGATAGGGTGAATTCAAGATACAGAAGGAGGGAGGAAATCCTTATTAAATCTCACAAGGACCACACCTTACCTTACGGATCCTATGCAGTTTTAGAGATGGTGCTTCTGCAAAAATTATTACCTGTGCAGCAAGAGTTAAAAATCTCAGAAAGAATTTTTTTTTCTGCATTTGAATTTAAAAGTGCTGAAGCAGTGAATACTGTCAGATAAGTAAAAATCGTTGGTGCTTTGTTGTTTTTCCTTTTGTGTCTCCTTAATGCTTTATTGTGGTCTTAAGTCCCTTTTAGCATTTGCATAAAGTTCACGATAGATCCCTCTTTAATGACGTGCCGATCATTAGATACCTGTGTGTCAATAACATGCTCTGATGCTATGTTCCATTGACAGTCACACCGTGCCCCTCCATCTGCTTTTGTTTTGACCCTATCTTTGAACTTTATCTTGGTTGCTGGCCAGTAGTTTTCCCTTTAATTACAAGAAGGAAACTGTCAATAAAATCTGTTAAATGGGATGCAATGAGTGGCTTGAATGGGCGGACGGCTATTTGTTCAAATTCTGCAGCATTCAAGGTATTGACAGTTTGTTTTCTGGGGCCATATGTGACGATCAATCTCAGGCTGGGCTCAGCCGCGCTGAAAAATGAAAAACCAGATTGCTTTTGCTTACTTGTGGATGACGACTTGTGATTTGGCGCGGTCCTAGTGAGATGAGACCTTCTGCCCAAATTGCCCCCCTGAGAGCCAGGACGCGTGACTGTTTTTGGAAATAATTTTTTAATTGATTTTGTAATTAACAGTTCATCTACAATATTGATGCATGAATCCTCAGATTGATAGGAGGGAAATTGTTTTCAACAATGAAGTTGTACTTTCCTATTTATCTTTGTAATGTGATTTAGCACTCTGCATTTTTAATTGGAAATATAATTCAAAAACATGCAAAGCCAAAAGGCTTGTTAGTTTCTTTGTAAAATATTCTCCACCCCACTAACTCTGCCCTGAGTTTTAGAATATTATCTTATTTCCAGAATTAGCAAAATGCTAAAATGCCTCTAAAGATCAAAATTATTCTTAATTGAAGATTTATTTCTAATTTTTGAACATTGTAAATAGGCACTTGAGGATACTTTGTGGCTACGGAAAGGTTTTTTCCTTAAAATTGGTCATGCTCAATGACCAGAGCGAGAAAGTTGTCTGGAATTAGGAGTCTAAATGGAGAAGGGTTTTTTGTATTTATTTTGATTCTGTAATTCAAAGACTACATTAGAATTATTTCTATAGTTTACTTGATAAAAAGGATAAGGGGTAGAATATAGGGATATGAGAGTGAATACCATTCACACCTTTTTTTCCCTACCCCCAAAAAAGGCATGCAACGTTTAAGTAATAATAAAAAATAACTGCTGCCAAAAAAAAGTTTAGTCATACATTGTGCATAGAGTGTATCAAAATCATCTGTAGCTTCATTAACTTCACTGGAAATTACAACCAGGATAATGTCAGAGATAAAGACAGTTCAGCATACTAAAATTCAGGGCACACTGAAGTGAAAACATTTCCTTCCCTCATCTTAAAAGAAATAAAATTGCTGTCTTAAAATGAAACTGTTGCAAGGAGGAGTTAAAAAGCAGCCCAGCCATTCCACTTCACTTTCAACAGTGTTTTGACTGCTGGCATTCAACATTTCAGCTTCAGGTTGTATAGGCAGCAGATACCAAACTTCTATCAGCTGTAGCTACACTAACGTGTAGGTGTAAAATAGCACCTGCAGAATTACCCCCCATCAGTGGATATCAGACCATTAGTGTTTCATTTTTAAAATGCTGCTAAAATTAAAATAAAATGGAATTGCATTTTTTGCGCTTTTTTTTTTTTTTTTAATAGACAAAACCAGAAGAGCTTATTTTCATAGAACTGGGAACTTGATTAATGTAAATGCAACTAATATAAAAAAAATAAAATGCCATTATAAAATCAATCAGTAGCAATTCACATTTTAATATGTTTTATTGCTACTTCTGCTTCCTTCCACTATTTATTTTTCTGGTTTAAAATATGTTAGCCTTTCTATAGCTGTAGAGAGTATAATAAGAAATCTTGGGTGTCTCAGACATTTTTGCCATATCTGCACTGTCTAGAAAGATTCCCAGGTTGACTCTACTATAAACAGTAGACAAAGATGGTTTTATACCTCTGTGTCTGTGTCCGTGATTTATGATACAGTGTCATAATACTTTCCATGCTGGTGTTCGGAAGCAGGGAAAAGAAACTGTGGATTGTCTTCATATTGATTGCATTTTGTTTGAATAAATACCACAAGCTTTGTTTTGGCCGACAAATCTCAGTAGCCTGAGCATTAAAACACCCCAACTGTTAACTTTTCTTTAGGCCTGCTGAGCCTACTTGTGCAGTAGTGGATCTAATCCTGCCATTTGGTCCCTAAAAGGTGGGGAGGAGTAGCCATTTTTCAGGGAGATTCTCTGACAGCCACTATCAAATGTTCCCTGTGCAGGGTTGGCAATGCCACGCCACTTCTATAAATTTCCACAAATGCAAAGATGTGGCAACCTTGTAGATTGTACTGATTTCAAATGAAGTGCAAATAGACTCTGAAAAGTTTAAATATATATGTAAGAGCACAATACTGAAATGCATAGACGTTTCAGTCCTGCCTGTGTTAAAATCTATACAGGCATGATTTCAACAGTTACATTTAGTATGTAAATATGGAATTTATCAGGTTAGTTTTAAGCATCTGCATTGATTCAATAGTAATTTATACAGCCTTTACGCATGAAATCCAGAGAAGTAACTCTTTCTTTGGCGTTGTCCTTGTCCTGCCAGTATCACGAGCTCCTTCCTTCTTTCCCCACCTTCTGTACATAAAAGCCAGGAGGTACCTTGAAGCTGCAGGATGCCACTGCCCCGCGTTCTGCCTCACACCGCCCAACTGAAGCAAGCTGGCACCAATGAGCACTTTGTTTACCCACGCAGAAAATCAACTTTGAATGGTTTCCAAAACATGCATGTACCAATTACTTCCTCGTGTGTAAGGGAAGGTGAAATATTTACAAAATGTGCCTGAAGTGCACACAAGTGCGCGCACGTGCACCTGAACGCTGCGGCACAGCAAGGATGACCTGCTCATCTCTTTTGTATTAGGGGACGTTTCCACGTATCGATTAGGCAATACTAAACAGGGAGTTGCAGGTGAGCAGTTTTTTGAAATTGCCTAATCAGTAAGGGCTAAATTGGTCCCTCAGTCCGAATGTTGCAGAAGAGCTTAGGAGTCACAAATGAGAGCAGAGTTTTAAGAGCAGCTCAGTTCCCTTCAAAGACCTAACGTAAGGAACTAGAGTGTCAAAATACATTAGCGCATTTGAAAGTCTGATCTGTGTGCATCTGCTTAATAGGCTACTGGCATCTTGAAAAATCTGACCCAAATGTGGATGCTAGGCACTTAAAAGTATAACCCTATGCACTGTTGAAAATTTAATCTTAAACGCTAATACTGCCTGTCTAGCCTGTACCACAAAGAAAGAGAATCATCACAATTCCTGGTCTCTGATACTAACTCTCCTAAAAAAATAACTGTCACCCTTCCATTACCGCAGGAGTGAGAACCAAAACGTATCTTTTGCATTTTAGCATAATAAAGTGCAGTTATGCTGTCATCCTGGTTAAAAAATTAGTAAGTTCTTACAAGTTTTTTAGCTTTCCAGGCACAGTGTACTCAGAGCACCAGCCTATCACCATTAAATGATAGTTCATAACAGAAGTTAATTGGTAGAGCCCAGTAAATGACTTACTCCACAGGACATCATCTTTATTATATGTTTATGTCACAACATAATAATGTATTTAATTTCTAATAATGTCAGTTTTTTCCTTTTGTTTTATTTAGTCATCTTGCTAGTGTTAAAATTCATGGTATAGGTAGACAGAGACATACATCCACACATACATACATACACACATACATACATCCACACATACATACATCCACACATACATACATACACACATAGGGCTGTGTTAAGGGTGTGTTACCAGTGTTTATTTTGCCAAATATAAATAACAAGATCTTAATTCTTGGATGTACTTTTGTGTAGGGAGTGGTACATCATAGAAACAAGTTTTAAGAAAAAGAAGTTGCCCCTGTAGTCAGTTTTCATGTTGCTTGAACTCAGTTTCGTCCTCATATTCCATTTTAATTTAATCTAATAGGTGGCATTCACAATTTTTAGAGAAAATAAATAACTATTCTACCATTTGCTTAAATTAGCATAAAGAAATGGCAGCAGAGTTAATCAATGGTTAATTAATGGTTAATCAGTGGTTAATCGTATTTTTTTTCTGGTACCTGGTGTAGTAACTGAATAACTTCGAGATATTCCTCACATAGTTATGAAATAAGTAGACATTATTCACGTTAGTAGCCTGAGACTTGCAAGAGACAAGAAGCCAAACTAGTGGCTCTCAGTGGTAATAGTTATGGTAATTGTTCATACCTTGGTAGTGGATAAAAAGGATTTCGAAGCCTTCAGTCTCCATTTTCTTTTAGTTGGTATCTCACTCCCCACCTCTATCATTC